AATGCACCAAGAATATTTACTTTTACATCGGAAACCACCCCCAAAGTTTGAAATTGAAGCATTATAAGCTGTACACAGACACATAAAAAAAAAAAACACATACCTATCATTGTAAAATCAATACATTCAACACTTCGTTCATAATCTAATAATCATAATCTTTTAAATAATAATCGTCAAATTATAACGAGTAACGACTATGATTAATTGTGTGTATACAGTCTATGGGGGGGATTGATCCCCTTGATCCCCCCCCCCGTAAATGCGCCACTGTGTACCATACTATGTAGTATATTAGCAGTGTTGAGTAGAAACGTAACGAAAGTAATTCGTTACGTAATTTCATTAAAATTATTTCCAAGTAACGAAAATTACTTTTGATAAGTAATTTTAATAGAATAACACGTTACAGATTCGAATTATGAAGTACGATTTTTCCTATTGCGAAATGATTAAAAAAATATATATGTCAATGCGGGGATTATTATATTTACCAATCTAAAATGTAAAATTTTATTTTAACTTGCCACAATTCAGTTTTCAATGGTTTTGACATTTGACAAGTCTAATTAGTAATTACACTGTAAATCACAATAACGGTCAATTAAATTTATTATTATTTGATTCCTCTGGACTATTAAGTTTTATAAATACACTCCTCAGATTTACATTATTATTTTTCTGATAGTTAAATAAAATCGAAATATTTACATTTTACCGACTTACCGTCATAAATCAATGATTTAAAATCATTTTAGCCATTTGGCATTTTTAATAAAATTTTATAAATTTTTTTTCTTACAATTTGAAATACACAATCTGTACAACATAGCACAATAAGTATATATGATATTATAATAGTAGCATGAATATTTTAAATTAAGAAGGCACCCATTAGTGACACTTGGCTGGGAATTAACGCTGTCTCGGGTCTAGAATTTGGTTGTTTATTTTTATTTTTTTATTTATAACAAGGCCCGTTTCACACGGACGTAACCTACGCGCGCGTTTTCAGTTACATTAGTTCATAGACATATAAAACAATAGTTTTATATGTCTATGCATTAGTTAAATTCATACGCTCCAGTCCGACGTGATGCGTTTCCCTTGCCAGTATGACGCGTATGAACTAATCAATGTAAACTAAAAACGCGCGCGTACGATACGATACGAACGCGTCCATGTGAAACGGGCCCAAGTCATGGCACCAGTTCCTTTTTAGACGACGCCCGAGGTTTCCCGGTATGGTTTTGGGTGTAGAGGCTCTTTATTAATGGATTTTGGTGGGTTTGTAGGCGGTTATGAAAGCGTTTATAGAAATCTACAGCTTCATCTGTCACAGTTTTCATTGTGAGGTCTTTATGTAGGGTATAATTAGACACAAAAGGTGGAGCATTTGTAATTTTTCTATAAGAGCAATATTCTAGGACTGTTGGATTTTGTTGGTATTAGATACTTAGCAGTACCCCACAATTGAAGACCATAGGTCCACATTGGTTTTAGAAGTGTTTTATACATAAGAACTTCAACTTTTAGTCTAGAATGTTTATTATTTGTAATCAAAGGACAGTGGTGACATCAGATTATTTTGTCTGGGTGGGCCAAGCTAGGGCCACTAATTTTAAGAATGAGCCAGTGGACTTAGGCTTTTTGGGAAAATTAATCGATGGTTCTATAAATGCCCCTTCCCCCCTCACTGCTCGCACAAGTAAACTTTAAAGTTCCACATCGTTCCACAAGGTCTCGAGTTCCTTCTAAAGTACCTTTACGGCTTTACATTGCACCAATTACGGTAGAAACAAACCAATTGACCGCATGATGCGTTTGGGTAACGAGGACCTCACCTTTCTTTGTTCACCTTAATTTGGTGCTGTTGACCTTGTTGTATCTTTTTATTATTTTGTTATATCATGTAGGTATATAATTTTGATTCGCGGAAAAAAAAGTCCCACATTAAGTAAAAAAAGTCCTGACGTACAACGTCCCACCTTTAATAATATAGACTTGATTTTGGTGTTACCTTTTATTTGTGTGACGATTGGCAGTCGCACGTATACGATAATCGTTTCGATATAATTGATAATATAATAATAATCGATATAATGATAAAATGTAATAATAATTATAATGGAATAATGGAATAACATAATATACTAAAGTCAATTCCACATTCCTTGTGGAAATTAAACAAAAATCCCAAATACGCAACCTGGGGGTATTTTTTGTTTGAATTAATCAATTCCATTTTTAAATAATGCTAAAAAAACAATTAAACTTGTAAACAAATGTATAGACTATTATAGACGCGTACTCTTTCGATGTAATCCAAAGACAGGCAACAGTCTCATGGAATGAGTCTCATGGGATTTTTTTCCCGCAATTTGAACATATTATATTAATATGACATTAGTTCCTTTTTTTCCCGGTACCACAGAACAATCGTATTAAAAATAGACCAATTTAATTTAATTTAATAGGTCTATCGCTATGGTACTACAGTTATCTTAACGCAAAACAAATAAGTCGGAAATTGAAAAATAAATAAAATAATATCACAGATTATATTACATTGATAGTGATTGGTGATAGTTTAGTCTATGCTTATTGCTTATGCTAGTTTCTTATATAGTTACATATTAAAATATAGATTATGATTTGATTTTGTTCATGCAGCCATACTACAGAAGTACAGAATAGGTTCCTATAAAAAGATCATTTAATTTTTATGAGTAGGTATTGAATAATATTGGTACAAGAAATTATTCTTTTTGTCAACTGTGAATTGTGATCATACTTATATATACAAAGGTATTTTATTCATTAGTTCATTGTTTGTCATTTGTTGATTTTTTTTCCAACAAAAAATTATTATTTTGCCTGTAGGTAATATAATTATTATAAATTGGTGAAACATGATATGTGGAAAATATTTTTTGTTATGCATCTTAAGTTTTTTATTATTTTTTAAATCTACAACTGTCCATGGACTCATAGATCCGATCACAGGATCTGTATTTGCTGCTTTTTTTACAGAATACTTGGCAGAAAAAATGGGTTTTTTAACTGATTGCCCTAAAATATCTGATTTTAAAGGTAAGGTCAGTTGAAATATATAGTATTTTTTCTTGTAATTAATAAAATTGCTTTACTTCATACATCAAATAAGCTTTTTATGTTATAAATACTATTGTATCAATCTTAATATTATATTCAGGGCAATTTACCAAGCATGTTCACTTTCCCATTTTTCCTTTAATATTGAATTTATTCAAATTCTTGAATTTTATTGTGCTATTTGAGGAATCGCTGAATGATATAAACTTCTGTTTTTCAAATGAGAGCATCCTTTTTTAATGTTTTTATTTAATTTTTTGAACAATTTATTTATCTAGTTTAGGTACCAGTTCCCAGTTACCAGTTATTAAAATGTTTATATAAAAGAAAATTGTCCTTAAAATAGTTTTTATAACAATATAAAATAAACAGCCTTGGCCTCTTTGACCATTTCAATAAATTAATAGTGTTGATTCATTTATATAAATAACTAAAATTTTCAAATCACTATAGGTAGCCCTTGTAACTCATTACTGTGATCCAATTATCCTTAAATCGTAAAATTATATAACTTAAAAATTAGTCATTCAAACTTTGTTTCTGATACGTCAAATTTTTCAGAAAAATTATCTACTGAATTAGGTAATTACAGCTTGAAAGAGACACTAACATTTGAAAAACAAAAAACTTGAATCATCGTTTTTCTGTGGCTTGTTTAAATCCTAACCACAAATAATGTTACAAAATATCTGTATAGAGAGTTCAATAATGATTAAAATGCATAGGTATTTAAATTTATAATTKATTATTAGTTTTGATTTTACTATATATAGTGCATACCAAACTCATGAAGTTATCTTAGTTCATCACCTTGCTATAACTTAAAATTACAATAATAATTCTATGAATAAATTAATAAATAAGTATTTCTAATCATATAGAACATAGATTATTTACGGTTCAATTATTTTGATTCTTTTATTTTAGTAGATTTTATATACCTATTTTTTTGCGTTGAAATACTAAAAACATAATCTCAAGTTAAGATTAACTTATTGAATTATTAAGTATAATATGTAGTGTATGCTTTATAAATTTGTATTTACATTATAATTTTGCTTTATTCTTTGCACAGATTTAGAACTTGAAATTAAAAAAAGTTTTTTTGGGCAACATATTGCATCAAAAATTTTGATATCTGCTTTGGCAGGTAATTTACACCGTAGTAAAAATAACAAGAAACCATTAGTTTTGTGTTTTCAAGGCTCCAGTGGTACTGGTAAAAATTTTTTGTCAGATTTGATTGCTAGTCATATGTTCAAAGACGAAAAAATTAAGAAAAAACGATATCATACTATTCAAGGACAAATTGACTTTCCTTTGCAATCAAAAATAAACGATTATAAGGTAAAAACATTCTTTTAGTAGGTAGAATTATTCTGAATGCAATTGGTTGTAAAATAATTGGTTTTAATTATTGTAATCCCATCTCCTATAAAAATTACAAAATGTAGAATAGTAATCTTTATTCTGTATAAAATTTTAATATTTTGACCTTCTCGTACAATTTAATATTATAGGTACCTAATAATTTTTAATTTTTTGTGAAATACATTGGAGAGTACTGTAATTAATTTCAGTTACATTGTTATTATCTTATAAATTTTACAATAATATGTTATGATTTATTCCTTTTAAATTCTTAGTGTGAATGTATTGATTTTATTTTATTATGTTCATTTTTTGTATCTGATGTCACATTAAGGAATAATAAAAAAGCTTTAATTTTAAATGTTGAGGTTGGTTTAATTTAATTTAATTTTTTCGTTGTAAATTTAAAATAAATTACTATGGTTAAGTACTATAATTTTACCAAATTTTACCTTTTATTAGACATTATAATTTTTAAAATATTTTGGTTTTTTTATAGCTATTCAAAAGTATTTGAAATATTAGATATTTTGTTTTCAAAAGATTGAAAAATTAATCAAGGGTTTTATTGTTCTTACAGCAATTAAAAAAGTTAAGAAGTCAAGTGTTTATTACTTTCAATATTTATTACAGCCCAAAGTTTAAATTTTGTTGAAATTTAATTATATATATATAATATATATAATTATATTATTCTTATTTATTACTCACATGCTGATAGGTACTTAATATTAATTATCATTTCAGGAACAACTTCATTCTTATGTGAAATCTGCTATAAAATTGTGTGATACAAATTTATTTGTTTTTGATGAAATCCATTATATGCATATGGGTATATTAGACGTACTAACACCTATTCTGGAAAACAATGATGTGTCCATAAATTCTAGGTAATGTATTAGTTAATTGTTTTATGAAGTCTGATTCTGTTGTTTAGTTATTTAATTAATTTGAAAAAATGAAAATGTTGTATGAAGTTTCTGTTACTAAATTTTTAGCAAAGTTGAATCTTCAGGGAATACATTAAATTAATATAAAAAGTGTTTTTTTTTCTTAATCTAAAAATATATGGAATTTGACTATTTTAATGTATTAAAAGAAGAACATTACAGTAGAGTAATTGATTTTAATTTTTTAAAAGAAATATAGCTAATTATATCATTAATATTACAGKAATTCAATTTTTATATTTATAACAAATACAGGTGCCGATTCTATTATAAAAAAGTACTTAGATCTTTATGTTAAGAAGATTTCTAGAGAGAATATGACAGTTGAAGATTTTGATACCATTTTACTAAAATCTGCTTTCAATGAAGGTAAACTTGAATTTATCATTATTTACAATAATTTTAACTTTATAATATGTGTTTAAATTTAAATTTAATATATTTCATGTAATACAAATATGGTTTATGTTTCAAAAATGTTTATCAAAATTAAAATTTTGTCTATAATAAAATACAAAGTTGGGTAGTATCTAGTTAGTTTTAATTCTTATTAATTTTGTAACTTAACTAGTTGAATTGAATGTGTAAAATAATCTAAACTAACTTGTGAATTTTATTACATTTGATCGTATAATTTAAATCCGAAACATCTCTCGATTTTCTTTAATGTTGAACCTCTTTGGGTAAAACTTGGAGTAACTTAAACTTATGTTACCTTGGGAAGTACCCTGCAAATTGGTTTTACATTTAACTTGAAGGATGTTTTTGATTTATATTATCTGTGTGAGCTATAGACTATATAGCACACTGCTTTTATATATGCTTTTAAAAATTTTGTTTTGACTTAAAGACTTACTCAAGGTATTCTTATATTTATTTAAATAGGAGGGTTGCAGAAAAGTTCATTAATAGATTCCCATGTTATTGATTTTTATATTCCATTTCTACCACTTGAAAAAGATCATGTGATGCAATGTATCAATGCAGAGTTGAAAAATCTAGAAAAACATTTGGATTCCGAAGCAATAAGGTAATATAATAAGCGACATATAAAATATATTATTAATATTATTATATATTAATATATTTTAATATAATAAAATCAGTGATGACAATTCAAATACATTAATTATGTGTTAATTGATTTTATTACCTCCTACTAATTTATTGAATTTAAATCCACTGGCTAATTCGTTACTATTTAGAAATATTAAATTTACATATCCTTTATGTTTTATGTATTTACACATATTTCTTCTATATTTAATCGTTATGTATGGAAAAAAATTCTTCATATAGAGAAGCTAGGAGTACACTTGTTTTTACTTAATATTTTAATGTTTCATAACCTAAAACACAATAGGGCAAAGGGCAAATGCTCTGAAAGTTAAAAATATAAAAATAATACATTAAAAYAGTCTATAATTAATGGAATAAGTATTKGTTTCTACTTACTTTAAAATGATTTGTTTGGTATTTTGAATGATTGTGAATTTTTATGAATATTTATTAAATTATTTTGCATATTTAACATTTTTCTATTCATATTTTTTTTTTGTTTAGCTCTCATAACTCCCAAACCCTTATAATAAATAATGATATTATTTTTTACAATTTTTTAATTGATTCGATTCATAGCAGTGGTTTTTTCATTTTTTGCRAACACTTATTTCTCGTGCTGATGTCAGATTTCGTCATCCGGTTTTCAACTAGGTCCCACTCCACAGGGAGTGAAGACCGCACATGTTTCCTCTTGGAGAACAGGAATAGCATAATGTATATAGTGATATATATATATATATATCAGGAACGGCGCTAGGATTTGCAGGGACCCGGGCAAAATAAATAACAGTCACATTACATGTTATCCAAACTAACTAATCTCTGAACAGTATAAAATATCATTTAAGAACTGCGGGGATTATAATTTTAAAATCGCGGRGCCCGGGGCAACTGCCCCGACTGCCCCCCCTCGCGCCGTCCCTGTACATAGATAAATAGATCACATGATCTCTTTACTACCCACTTGTGATACGCATTGAAAAAGATCTTAAGGTCGTTTCAATGAACAAATACAGAGAATAAATGTTTTTTTACAATGTGACTAAAATAGTAAAAGCAATGTAAATATTAATATTTAAGTATAAATTATGGACTCAATTTAAATATAGACTTTGACTTAATCTATTCAAATATTTTCCGAAATATCACATATACTCATAAAATAAAATATTGTTCAGCATAATTTTAATATGTTTAAATACCAATGAATTTTCAATTGATTAAATTTATGTCAAATTTTTAATTTAAGATAAAAATAATTAACCTAGTGCGTAAATAATTATTTGAAAAATACACTTAATTTAATTTGTATAAAAATCCATATTTTTTTCAGTGAAATATTGCGGATAATTCCATTTGGTCCTGAGCCACAAAAGTTCTTTGCTACTTCAGGTTGTAAAAGGCTTAAAGCATGGGTTGCAGCTAAATTATATTCTAGTTAAATTATATATTTTTAAAAAAACACTGTATGTGTTCTTGTTTATATATATATTTGGAAATAACTGATCTAAAAATAAGTATTTATATATATATTTTAATGTTTTATTATCATCAAAGAATATGAATGTAATAAAGTCAATTTTTTTTGTCTCCAATTTGTCCATTCCACCTTTTTTACCCATTTCATTGCTGAAAATTTTTAATTTAACTACATCTTTTTTTAATGTTAATTGGTTTAATTCAGCGGGATAAAAATTATACTTTGGTATGGCAAGTGTTTGACAAAATTCAATTTGATGTCCAACCTGTAAAATTATTAGTTAAATTAACTTATAGTAAATGTATTATTTTTACAGTTATATATTATGTTAAGTATACACATCTTTTACAATTTTCCCTCAAATTATTTTGTTCATAAAAATTGACTAATTCAGCTAGGTTGCGAGATGATGGATTCAATTTTTAATTCATTATAAACATTGAAAGTGATGTATTATATTTTTGTCATTGATGAAATTATAGACAATTTTGCAAGGAAAAATCAAATTTTTTGAAATTGTTATACTTTACTCAATACAATTATATTAATATTATTGCAAACTTTAAATAAATTTGTGATATATGAACAAAACTATTTCAAACTTAATAAACATGTTTTAAAAATCTAGATTGATATAACATACAAGATAGCAATTTTTTTTTTCTTTACTTTTTAGCTATTGGGTATTTTAGGTTCTGGACAGAGCGAGGAATGTTTTTTACCATGATGTATTATTTTTTTAAATTTAAAAATTTTTTTTTGTCTGTCATCACGTTTTGGGGCAGTAAAAGTGCTTCGATTTTCGACTACAGTACCTCGTACGATCAGAAAGTGAATTTAGTTGGTACTTTGGGGGGTTTTAATAAGTAAAAAATTCTCAATAATTTTCTAAATAATCAGGATAAACTAACTAAAAAAAGGCACGTAAGTCGTGGATGTCGCTCTGCTGTACAGTAGGTCACGATTTTTTTTTTTTATCAGCATTCAAAGTTAGAATTTTGACAAAATACGCAAAAATCACAAAAATTTGTAAATTATTTTAAGCTAGAAATTCAAAAAAAAATTCTTTTTGAACCTTAGATTTAAAAAAGCAGGTAAGTGGATGTCGCTCTAGCTGCTGTACATTAGGGGGTAGGGTGGACCTCTAGGGTTAGTTAAATTACTAGGGTAAGTTAAATTTGAATGCAATGATAGGTATCATTGTATACGAAAAACGATTCTGAACGGAGATGATTTGTCAGTCTAGGATATATTATATTTAAATATTGTCATAATAAATTATATTCTATTTTGAAACAAATATTTTATTTTTCAATTAGGACGCATTTTGCATAAGGAATGGTTAATCAATTTTTCCAAAAACCATGCATGTAGTTATCATATACATGTTTGAGGATAAATCGTTATCGTAACGCGATTTCATAAAAATTTAAAACTCAAACGCTCAAAACATTTTTCCTATAATGGCGCTTCAAATTTCCTTTATAGCTATYTGAAGGGTTGCTTACGGAAAACTTGGTGTTGTATTTTTAATCCCTAGTTATAAACACAAACATTTTTATGATTTTTCAACTTCAAAATTACTTGCAAATTTTCGTGTTTTCGACAGATTTCGTAAAAATATGAACTATAAACGCTTATAAAAGAATCTAAAATTGAATACAAGATTCCTTACAAGTTTGTTAATCTATATCACACAAAAAGATGTCCACCAGAAATTCAAATTAAAGTTTTATGAGCGTTTGAAATTTTACCAATGACAACATTGGATTATCACTAAATGAGAATATTTAGCGATTTTCTTATTTTGGCGTAACTCTAAAACAAATGACTGCAGATACTTGAAATTTTCATTGGATGTTTTTATAGGTACTTTCTATATTTTTTAAAATTTTCAAAATATTTTGAGCCGTTTACTGACATTTTAATTTTTCAACTTTTTTAGTTTTTTTTTCTATAAATATCGATTAAAATTTATTTGTTTGGCAGAAAAGCATGAAAATGTAATACAAGGCTCCTATAACACATTGTTATGATATCAGTTGAAGAATATTTAAAATGCATAGGCACGTTTTTTTTTATCAACATTTAAAGTTCATATTTATACTAAATACGTAAAAATTAGGGTAATGTTCAAATTATCTTAGATAGAAATTCATAAAAGTTTTTCTTTTTAAATATATTTGAAAATTTATTACAAGTGTAGTAAATCGACGGAGTCAATTTACTATTCTATAAATATTATAATTACGATTTAACGATATTACATAATA